GCCGCGCTCGGCGCGGACGGCGGCATCGACGTGAGGCAACAGAGGGAGGGCGAGCTGGAGAGGGCGAGCCAGAGCGGTGGTTGCGGTCCAGTGTGGGAAAACAGGGGCGGCGCATGCTCGCTCGCGGGGATGGACCAGCACCGGTTGGGTGAGGCGCGCGGTGGCGATGCTGCGGGAAAGGAGGACGGACGAACCGACGACGCGGCTCAAGCAACGGCTTCGGCGCTGCTCGGCGGCACAGCACCGGCACTGATGCGCACACGCAGAGGAGAAGGCCGAGCGAGAGAGAGCAAGCGAGCAGGACCTGGGTCCCCTCTCTACGGCAGCAGGAAAGAAAAGGGAGGAGGAAATGTCCTACGCACGCCAGAGGACGGACGGAAACAAGGAAGGACGAGGCCAAGGCTTGGTGTGACGTTCGCGCGATGCGGCGTGAGTCTCGACACGGCCAGCAGAGAAAGAAGAAGAAAGGAGGAAACAACGCGAGAAACGTCGTACCCGCTACGCGGAGGCAGGATGGGACAGGTAGCGTGGCCGGCAGCGGCCCACCTGCGCGTGCACAGGGAAAAGAAAAGACCCGGCGTGGCAGGGACAGAGCCACGTGCTCCCTCCTGACTCCCCGCGCGGTGGACTTGCTAGAACGTGGGCTGCTTTGCGTTACGAAAACCCTTCTCCACTAGATGACCAAAACCACAGCGGACGTAAAGACAGAGCAAGGTAGATACCAACCGAGTTGAGGCATATGAATGCGCGAGACGATCGCCAGGCAAACGTGGCAAGACCAGCGGAGGGAGAAAACAAGCAGCCGGCAAGGTCAGCAAGTTGGGTCCTATCTCATAACGCGCGCGTTGTACCGGCGAGATAGATGAGCTGATTGGCCAGCGACACTTTCGTTAGTATTTTAACATCGACAAATTCAATTTCTAAAACAACTTTATGCATGTACAAGCATAACTAAAACTCTGAGGTTTTATTATTAGCAAATCTTACTCTCAACAATTTTTTGTTTATAAAAAATATTTTTCACGCTTAATCAAATAAACAAGCCATTCACCCTTTTATTTGCTAACATCGTTATCGGACATTCCTAAATATTTCTACGCACTGCATAATTTAACTTGAGCGTTTATTTGAGTCCACAAAACTAAGTCACACGGGATTTGCTTATCGCATCAAGTATATTTTTAAATCAAAAATCCGGAAAACTCGTTTCAAAAATTTATCTCAGGCCTAAATCATGGTGGTAAACGAGCTCGTAACACCAGAGGTGTTACACCGAACGAGGATAGTCAGCTTATAGATCCTCTCCTATCATCTAGAGCATGACGAGGGTGAGTGGCCGAGGTTGGAGCGGTGGACTCGATGGAAGGCGTGCATATTCCACGCTCACCTGCATCATCATGCCGCGCACCGTCCGCGCGCACCTCGCGGTGCCACCCATCGTGCCACGTCGCCGGCCATCCACCCGCCACTCAAACACCCACGCTCGCTGCGCAGCCTCCAGCCAGATTCTCTCGAGCTCGGGGATCTCGCCATCCTCGACGCGCTCTTCTTACAATTGAACATACGGGAGGTACGGGGCTGGGGCCGCCACCCGCTAGGAAGGGCAATCCTACACCCAGTTTGCATGAATTTATCAGCAGGCTTATCAGTCATGATATATTGTTTTTCTCTTATAACAAAACAACATCAGCCACATAAACCATGAGCCGAACAAGTCGAACTCCAAGCAATCCTAGTATCCCAAATGAGGACCCAGCAGCTTACTTGTTGAACTGATCAACTTGCCCATTCACCACTGAGGAGCGCTAGGAAGGCGGGAAGGTCTCCCACTGCGCATGCAAATGAAGATGCCCGCGTTGCCGATGACCGTGAAGAAAAGTACCATTTTACCCTTCCCGATTTAATTAGAGCTAGTTCTGAGCCCACTAAATTTTGGTTCCGGTCCACAACTTAAGTTCTATGAGTAGGTTCCTCCTATTTCTTGGAGCCCAACGGATGGCTCCTATTTTTTTCAAGGGTCGTAAAATTTCACTTAATTTAATACTATAGATATTATTTTATTTTTATAAAACATGATCAAACATAGGATAGCTTGACTTAGAAAAACTTATGTATACCTAATATTTTCTTCGGTCCGTCTTTTTCCCCAAAGTGACCTCACATCTATAGTCCGATTCGAAGAAGCATTGGGTAGTAAGTTTCGTTGTAACGTACATATTTGCAAGTAATCCACTTATATTTGTAGATGAAGGATATATGGAATGGTCCATCACTCCGTCTCATTTGCAACCTCTGGTCCTTAGGCCACCGTCCCACATTCGTACAGTAACCCATATTGTCACTCAAATGTCCACTTTAACCCATCCTCGGCAGCTTTCATGTCGCCAAGTTACCCCATCAAGCTACGCATCCGCTTTTTCCCTCTCGTGTACTCCCTCCGTATGTAAATAACTGTCATTTTGAAAAACAACTTTGATTAAATATATAAAAATATTATTTATAATATAAAATTAATATCATTATATAGATCATTGAATCTATTCATAATAAATTTATTTAGAGATATAAATATTGCATATATTTTTTATAAATCCAGTTAAACTTATGGCACGAAAATCAAAAGACAACAATTTTTTAATACCGGACGGAGTATCACTGTAGGTGTAGTCAGCCGAGCAAGCTGTATATTTTGGAGCTAACTATGGTGGCATGCCTACCTCACTGCCTACATTCTTTCTGTGTTTTCTACTACCTCTGTCCAAGAAAAAAAACAATTCTAGTTGTATTCTCGATTAAAGACTAAAGTTTAATCAAATATATAAATAAAAATATTAAAGTTTAAGATATGAAATAAGTATATTATGAAAATATATTTGATGACGAATCTAATGGTACCTATTTAGTACGATAAATATTAGTAATTTTTTTATATAAATTTAGTCTAACTTAACCTACTTTAATGAGATAATTTTAAAATCGGAAACTCTCGGCCACGGCCACGGGGTGTCGGACGAGGCTCCCAGTTCTGTCTCCTACGTAGCGGATTGGCCTCTCAAAAAAAATCCCCACTCCGCTAATCCGTTCGTCACGGCATGGCAGAGCATTCCTGAGTCGCTCATCTGTCCGCCCCGCGGCGCCCCTTCCCCCACCGCGCGCCCTCCCTCGTCGTGGCGTCGTGCCGTGCCCTTCCCCACCACGCCATACCCCATCGTAGGCTGCGCCACCCCTATCCCCTACGAGCGGACGACGCTGGATAACTGCGGTTGAGCGAGCAGCGGCCCTGGAGCAGTAGCAACAGGGTCGCGCCGATGGGCGTAAGCCTGGGCCACGAGCAAGCATTGGAGAATCGTAGGAGGGCCGCGTCGCTGCTGCACCGGCGAGCTCCATGCGCTGCCACCAACCTCCGCACTGGCGTCGAGCTCCGCAACGATGATTGTTCATTCGTCCGAGCAGCAAGGTGACATTGTGCTGAAAGCGCATGTTGCAAGTGTACGTCGAGGGTTTTAGATGTTTTAGAGGTTTTTGTAAGTGTTTTATGTGGAAGTTGTAAAAGTAGATTATGATGTTGCATATGTTTTTAGTTATATACATATGTTATAAGCTTCTGTTTCTAATATTTCATATATTTTTTTCCGATACATGCTAGTTTAAAAGTCGATTTTTGAAGCTGACCTTAGGATACATGGTCCAGTTAAACACCCCTGTAAGCCTTTGTCACCAAAACCTCCCACCCCTGTAAGCAAGCAGAGCAGAGCTACATGCGGTGAAATTGGTGGAGCAGAAATTAAAAGAAAAACTAGAGTAAAAAAAAACTAGAGTAGAACAGTCCTAAACAGGTTTGGTATCCTCCTCCATTGGTCACCTTGCACCTCCATGCGATTCAGCTCGGTAGGGGGAGGGGGGAGCCAGGGAGGGCAGCCGAGGAGCGCCAAACCAAACGCCCTTTTCGTTCAGGGTGCGTTAGGGTGTTTGATTCAGAGACTAAAGTTTAGTCCGTGTCACATTAGATGTTTGATACTAATTAGGAGGACTAAACATGAGTTAATTATAAAATTAATTACACAGATAGAGACTAATTTACTAGACGAATTTATTAAGCCTAATTAATCCGTCATTAGCACATATTTACTGTAGCACCACATTGTCAAATCATAGACTAATTAGGCTTAAAAAATTCGTCTCGCAAATTAGTCGCAATCTATGTAATTAGTTATTTTTTTAATCTATATTTAATACTCCATGCATGTGTTCAAACATTCGATGGGACAAGGGCTAAAATCCGGTCTAAGGAACCAAACAGGCCCTGGCGGAATTTAATTTTTTGGGTTTGGCTACCGTAGCACTTTCGTTTGTATTTAGCAATTAGTGTCTAATTATGGACTAATTAGGTTTGAAAGTATCGTTTTATGATTTCTCACTCAACTGTGCAATTAGTTTTTTTTGTCTACATTTAGTACTCCATACATGTGCCGTAAGATTCGATGTGATATTTTAGGGTGAAAATTTTTAAAAACTAAATAGGGCCTGACTTATAAGTGTAAAAGTACTATTAATTGATTTAGTGTGGAAAAAAAATACTATTATAAATTATAATTTATAAGGCTGACACAGCCCAAACAGGCAAATAGCCAAACCAAGCCATCGCAGTGCAGTGCGGGGCCCATCATTTCTTCCTTCCATGTCACACAGGGGGGGGGGGGGGGCAAGAATCCAAAGCACACATTCCCATCACACCACACCAGTACACCGCTCCATGGCAGGCATGCACCGCTTCCCATGCCCCGCCTCTCTCTCCTCCTTTCCCTGCAGTCGCAGCAGTCACAGCTGTGACCTGTCCAGTTCAGTCGCTTCAGCATTCACAAGCGCGTTCACTCTCCCTCTCCTCCAGTCCTCCTTTCCCCTCCCACCTCGCAAGCTTGCTCACTTCTGTGTAGTAATCCTCAGCAACCTCGTGGGGACTGGGGACATCGTCGTTGCCGTTCCCGGGCTCGGCAGCCGCAATGCTGGCGCAGGTGCTGCTCGTGCACCTGCTCCTCCTCGCCGCCACGTCCTCAGCCGACCACCACCGCCATTACTGGGGCAGAAGGGCGCTGCACGAGCCGCTGTTCCCTCTGGAGAGCACGCCCGCGCTGCCGCCGCCACCGCCCGCGCCGTTCTTCCCGTTCTTGCCAGGCGCCGCGGCGCCGCCGACGCCGACGCCGGAGGTCGGCTCCGCCTCCGCCTCCACCCCGGCAGACACCGGCGCGGGTGACGCGTCGTCGTCGTCTTCGTCGCCGCACCCCACGGCGCCGGCCAACATTTCGTCCTTGGCCGCGCTTCCCGTCTCCTCCCACACCGCGCCGCTCCGGTCCTTCCTCTCCTCCCACCGCCTCCTCACCGTCCTCGTCCTGGTCGTCGCTGTTGCTGCCGCTGTGCTCACCGCTGCGCTCGTTTACATGCTCGCCCGCCGCCAACGTCGTCACGCTCCCAAGGAGGAACCTGCAGTGTACAAAAAGCCCTCCTCGCTTGCACCGGCCAACCCCGTGCTCTACGATGGTGGCGACCAGCATGGCCGAGGCTCGACGGCCACCGTCTCCAGCACCAGCTCGCCGGAGCTCAGGCCGATGCCGCCTTTGCCTCGGCAGTTCCAGCAGACGCGGATGAACTTGCCGTCATGTTCAAAATCCGTTCTTGACGCCGGAACAGGAGGTAAGCGAGCAGCAGAGGGTTCTCCTCCTCCTCCGCCGCCTCCTCCACCGCCGCCTCCAATGCCACCGATGAAAGACAAGGGAGGCGCCACAGCAACTGCTGCTCCTCCGGCGCCGCCACCTCCTCTGCCAAGAGCCGGCAACGGCAGCGGCTGGTTGCCCCGGCGGCACTCCGAGCGCCCAGCGACCACGGTCATCAGGGCCTCGGCGAGCGCAGTTCACCCAGAAGAGTCTCCAGGGCGCGCGCCGTCAGAGAAACAAGCGGACTCGGACGCGGACGCGGACACGGCTGCTCTGCCGAAGCTGAAGCCGTTGCACTGGGATAAGGTGCGCGCGAGCTCTGGCCGACCGACCGTGTGGGATCAGCTGAAGGCGAGCTCTTTCCGGTGAGGCCGTGTCCGTTCTTGTTTATTGGCATTGCTTGCACTCGACTAGAGTTACTGCCATGATAACTTAACGTGCTTCAACTCTTTGTGCATGCGAATAGAGTGAACGAAGAGATGATTGAGACATTATTCGTCTCAAATTCGACATGGAGATCATCGAAGAGTGGAACCAAGGGGCCAAATTCCAGTTTGTGCAGCCAGGAGAACAAGGTCCTCGACCCGAAGAAATCACAAAACATTGCGATAATGCTAAGGGCGCTCAGTGTGACCAAGGAAGAAGTGTGCAAGGCACTCTTAGATGGTGAGTACACTGAGATGAGATATCCAAACACATCTATCATTCTGTAAACAAGAATGCACAGAACTTATCCTCTGACCGTTCATCATTCAGTTTCATGAACATTTGCTTGTACTACCATTGTTGGAAACAGGGCAGGCAGAGAGCCTTGGAACTGAGCTCTTGGAGATGCTGTTGAAGATGGCGCCTAGCAGGGAAGAGGAGATCAAGTTGAAAGAATACAGGGAGGATGCTGTGTCTAAGCTTGGCCCTGCTGAGAGTTTCCTTAAGGCGGTGCTCGCGATTCCATTCGCTTTCAAGAGAGTGGAAGCGATGCTGTACATCACCAGCTTTGATTTAGAGGTTGACTACCTCAAGACCTCCTACAAAACTCTTGAGGTATAATCTTTACGACTTTACCTGCATAGTTCCATTTAGAGATTTGAATGAAATAAGAACAGAGAAATGAAATGAGATGTGCCATAACAATGGTTCTAAATCAAATTTTAGGACTGCTGTTCATTTATGTAAGGCATTCTTCAGATCTTTGCTTCCATACACCACCATGGCAGATTGACAGTATATTTGTCCTGATGGGTAAATGAGCAACTTGGTGACAAATTGACAATCTTATGAGCAACCAATTAGCGTTTCAGAATTATCTTCTTAGGAATTTGTCACCAAAGTCTAAAACTCATTTGCATAAGACAAGAAATGCCTGATCAAAATAAAGTAGGACAGATAAATTGCTGACATTCGTTGTCATTTCAGGCGGCATGCGAAGAGCTACAGGGCAGCAGGTTGTTCCACAAGATATTAGACGCAGTCCTGAAGACTGGTAACCGCATGAACACTGGCACGAACCGTGGAAACGCCCATGCCTTCAAGCTGGAAGCACTCCTCAAGTTAGTCGATGTAAAGGGTGCCGATGGCAAGACGACTCTCCTACACTTTGTCATCGAAGAAATCATCAAGTCTGAAGGAGCTAACATTTTAGCCACTGGCCAAACATCTGACCAAACGAGTGCCCTTGCAGATGATCTGCAATGCAAGAAGGTAGGACTGAAAATCGTGGCAAGCCTTGGTGGTGAGCTCAACAGTGTCAAGAAGGCGGCAGCAATGGACTCCGATGCACTGGCCAGCTGCGTCTCCAAACTCTCCTCTTGCGTCAGCAAGATCAGCGAGGTCCTGCACTTAAACCAGCAGCTTCTCGGTTCCGAAGACAGCTGCAAGAGGTTCCGCGCTTCCATTGGTGAGTTCCTGCGAAAGGCCGAGGCCGAGATCGCCGGGGTGCAGGCTCAGGAGGGCCGCGCCCTCGCCCTCGTCAGGGAGACGACCGAGTTCTTCCATGGTGACTCGGCCAAAGAGGAAGGCCACCCGCTGAGGATCTTCATGGTGGTTCGCGACTTCCTCACGGCCCTCGATCACGTCTGCAAGGACGTTGTGAAGATGAACGAGCGGCCAGCGGCCAGTGGGTCGTCGCGGCGGGTGGGGAACATGAACGTTCCTCCGGTGTTTAACGCGGTGCGATCAACCAGCTCGTCGGAGGAGAGCTCGTCGCCCTAGCCGTTGGGATGCAGGCATGCAGTACTGATTGTCTGAGCAGGAATCGCCCTAGACGTAGTAGGACCATGATATACTACTAAATATTTTGTACCTGGAGAAGATAGTTTGTAGAGTAAAGTAAAGCCTATGATTCAGCATGATGAACATTGTCCTGCCAATGGCCTACCAAAGGTGAAAGTGGCATTGTACATGATTCTGCATGCTGAGAGTTACTGTTGGATGAGAGCTTTTGAGCAACTGATGATCAAGCTCAGTCTCATGACAAAAAGTAGATAGTACTATCCTGTCGCTAGCTCTTGATAAAAGGCATTGGACAAGTCGCTAGCTCTTGATAAAAAAGTATTGGACAAGTTTAACCTGCTTTGAGGGTTATATTGGTTCGGATAGAATGTTTTTACGTCTAGTTCGTTACCGCTGCTCGTATTACTAGCACTGAAAGTTTATAGTAGGGTTACAAACGGTCGAGAGAAGGACATGCCTCAAATCTCTGGTGAGAGGAGCGAACAGGTGCCGAGAGCTCGGTCGCTTTTCAGCTATGTGCTTGTGTATTCTAATCGGTTTGGGGTTCGATGGGTTCAAGTCCCAATTGATGTGATGTGTTGCGATGCCCTCTATGGGACGTCCTGCTTTTCCTTTTATAGGCCAAGGAAAAGCACGGGTTACAGTGAAGGAAAAAAGAGGAGAAGGAGAAGGAGAAGGAGAAGAAGTCCTACAGGATCGTCGGGTCCTTCTTTTCCTTCACGCGGGTCCCGCCGACCCTGTAGACGTCAATAATGACAGCTGCACGTCGCGTCCGTGTCCATCACTGGCGCCATGTGCAGGCGTCGTCTCTCGGTCGTGGCGCTCCACTCCGTCTTGGCGGACGTCGTGGTGAACTAACGCGCCTGTCAGTGCTCGTACGAGGGTTTAGGCAGAATAGCACCGGCACGCTCGACGCTGTTCCTGATGTGAATCCACAGGTATGGCCCGTCACGGCCACGGGTTATATCGGGACGTGTCGGTCACCCCCTGGTGTCAGAGCTTGGACCCAAGCCCATTCGCTTCGACCTGGAGTGGTTGGCGGCGGTATGGGTCTTCGTCGGGCGAGACGGATCCACCGGCCTCGGGGTCGGTCGAGGCGGAGTCCTCCCAGAGGCCGAGCGAGGCAGAGCCAGCCCTCAGAGGTCGGGCGAGGCGGAGCCAACGCTCAGAGGTCGAATGGGGCGGAGTGCAAATCTAAGGGTCGGGCGAGGCGGAGCCCACCCCTAGAGGTCGGGCGACGTGGAGCTAGCCCTCAGAGGTCGGGCGAGGTGGAGTCCGCGACCTCGGTGTCGGACGAGGCGGAGCCCGCCCTCAGAGGTCGGGTGAGGCGAAGCCAACGGCCTCAATGTCGGGTGAGGCGGCCCAAGAGGGGGCTGAGGAGGAGATCGAGCCCCGGAGGTCGAGGCGAGAGGAGGTGAACCTGCGGCCTCGAGGTCGGACGAGGTAGAACCCGCGGCCTCGGTGTCGGGCGAGGTGGAGCCCGCCCTCAGAGGTCGGGCGAGGCAGAGCTTGCGCACTTGGAGATCAGTTGGAGCTGTAGTCACGCTCTTGACTGCTCGGATGAATCAATGTTAATGGTTATTAGCTTCTACACTTCGGATACCCTAGTATTGGTCCTCGACAATAACCCTTCTCTTCTTTTCACACACTGTTTTATTTTACTTTATACCTCCTGGGCAACTAATTACAACATGCTGAAATGAACGCACTTGCTGAATTGACCACAAAAGATGCATAAAGCGAATTGATCGTCGCAACGTGCGACGCAAGATGATGCTTTCTCTAAAGAACATTTTGAGTCTCGAGGAGTATGTTATTATACGCAACATGCGGCTGTGTAAAAAAAACATAAAAAGGTACCATGGAGCTACAGCTATGCCGTTCTATTGCCGGCGTGTTACTTATATCTGCTGATAGCTGCTGCTCAAATCGTCGCTAAATTCCCCGTTAGCTGGTACCGTGGCAAGTAAAGTACGTCTGAAACAAGTGGATGCAGAAGGATTAGTTACATAAACCCTCTGCCTCCATACGCTCCAATATCCGCCGAGCCTCTTCTTCCGTTGAGGGAACAACATTGCGAATCTTCAAGCCGTTCTTCAACATGTCACTACAGACTGTGAAGGTGAAATGAAACGTGTTGGAAACCTGTTCGTTGGACAACATGGTCAGTAAATCATCAAGCATTCAAGAAGAAAAAGGATTTCAGGGTGGAGCTTATGCAAGGCGAGTAGCATCCGTGATAAACTGAGTGGGATTCTGGGATTACCTCACTTTTCCGGAGCTCGGGTCTTGTTACATGAGCGACAACTTCAACGTTGACCAGGGGCTGTTCTGGATTGTCAAGCTGGGTATACAAGACACATGATTTGAATCGAAGAAAGTCCCCTACATCCACCTGTGCAAGCACGACTACATGTTTATACCTATTGCTGATAGGATAGGAAAATGAATTGGTAGTTTCAAAAAATATATAACATGTTCATTTGTGGACACTACCAATTTACATAGGAAAATATGGCCCAATACTTCAATACCAGTTCATTTTGCATTGTTCATATTACCCAAAAAGAATATGCTATTCACTTACTGGTTTCAAGAAGTCAACATGATCAACTTCAAGGAAACAGGGTCTCTGCCCAACAAAAGCATATGCGGTTGAGAAGGCAAGCTCAAATGCTCGGTGCATCAAGAAACCCCCAAATATTCGACCATGCAAGTTTCGTTGCTGAGGCTGACAGACAAGAGAATTCTCCAGACGGGTATCCTTCAGCAAGATGCTATCTCTATCAGCCAAAGCAGGCAGATCAGAGAAAACACGACCCTCTGCAAGCAACGCACCCAGCCTCTCAGCCTCAGCACGGAGTTTATGTATCCCGTTTTCAAGTCCTCCCTTCTGTTCTTCTCTCTTCCTTTTTCTCATCTTATCTCGTGCTTCTCTTTCTCCAAATAGTTGCTTCTCTCTTTCAGTTTCAGGTGAAAGGCGGTTCACTGGAGCAGATTTTCCAGTCTTAGAATCACGTGCAACAAAGGTGAAGTTAGCGGTCAATGCAATGGGATCAGACTGATTATCACCATCTGTTGCAATATAACCACATTTGAGATAAGCCAGTTAAAGAAAAGCAGAAATCAAAATCTACCATATGCATCATCTTGTTCAAATCAATAAAGGGCTAGATCAACCTTCAACTGAACCAATAATACCTTTATCAACCTGAGTCAATTCAATCTGTATGTCAATTGATGAACGCCCAACATAAGTAACAGCTCCAGCTATCTTCAAATCAGTGTCCACACGAATTGGCTTTTTCAGCTCCATTTTGTCAACAGAAGCAGTCACAATCAAAAGGGGTCTTGTTGTGCTATCTTCATCTGAACAGTGCTGCATGTAAATCAAGTTGTCAAGAAAATCCGAGCAGGATGCCAAAAGATACTATCATACTACCCAGGAGCATGAGAAACAGGAAGCAAAGAGAAGACAAAAGTGCACGTCTATCACCCATTGGCATCGAAGACAAAATACAAGTCTGTAACAAAGAGTAACACAGAACTTAACTACTCAGTGAGCTAGTCAATGGAATGGTAAGACCAATGTCCAATGTAGCATCTGCTTCCACTACGACACTGGCACCATTAATTCAACACCACCACAACCTGTAGATATCTCATACCGACAAAGAAATGTTTTATGGTGCTAAAGAGCAAAAGACCACATTCACAGCCTCACAGGATTCACATTTCATAATTTCAGTAGCCCATAACTAAACAGTTTGCAAGATTCTTTACAATCAATTTCATTAAGCCAATATTTCTTCACGAGAACAAAGCAACAACAAGCTCCCAAAAAATTCTACCGGCAACATATAGAGGCCGTATAAACAATCTGGTGCTAATTCTCAGTCAATAAGTGTAACACTTCAGTGAACCTGCTTCATTTATGTTGTTGAGGGAGTCAGGGAGACAGTTCCAACATTTTACCAGTGTCTTATGTCACTACGAATTGTTCGGGCCTGATGCCATAAACCATAAACCATTAGCGTCTCAACTGAACTCAACCAGCCTCAGAAAGGAAATTGTTAAACTGCGGAGTGTCTAGACTCTACATTTTTAAGATGTTCATAGGTAAATCTACTTCAAAATTGTGATTCTGTTAGCAATTCAAAGATCATGAAATTGGCACACGTGCTCCCTTAGCATACACTCATGGGTTTAATTTAACAAATTAAGGCATGGGGCCAGGTGGCGGGCACCAATTCATCTGATGATGTCAAAGTTAAAGATGACCAAATCATAAGCAAACACCGAGAATATTTAGCCGGCACAAAACTCTGAATACTTGCAGCAGACGTACACTTATCTCTCTCTTACCGATCACACCTACTACTAGGGGACACGCAACGCAAGAAAGAAGATCGAAATGGACATCGCACTAGGCATTACCTTGACGGCGATGGTGCCGGCGAGGGCGTCAAGATCCTCGAGCAGCTTGCCGATGCGCACCTCGTTCCAGGGGTCCCGGTACTGCTCCCTGAGGATGTCGTCGGTGGCGAACTTGTACACGATGCTGGTCCGGCTCTGCGCGGGCGTCTTGACGAGCAGCTCCGTCTGCGGCCGCTGCTCGGCGGAGGAGGGGGCGCCGCCGCTCCCCGCGTCCATCATCCACTCGAAGATGCTGGACCGCGCCTCCCAGAGCGCGTTGGTCACCGGGGAGTGGTACATCCCGGGCCACAGGCTGAGCGGCCTCCGCGCCGACTTCCCCGCGTCGATCGCCGCGGCGCCTCCTCCCCCTCCCTCTCCCTCTCCCCCTCCTCGTCCGCCCCCAGGTGGGAAACCACCTTGATAGGCGAATCCATGGCCGGTGGTGGTGGTTCCTGGCCCCGATCTCCCGAGGCGGTCGAGGAGGCGCGTGTTGGCTGGGAAACGGGGATTCCTGCAGATCGTTCGAGGCCGATGGGGCCGAGGAGGGGTGTCGGGGTTCGCGAGGTGACGCGGCGGCGGAGAGTTCTGGAGAGCAGCGGCGTCGCTGTCAGCCTCGTCGTCATGGGTACTTGGCCGCGGACGCGGGGCTGCCTCCGGCCTTGCGGGAGGGTGGATCAGATGTGGGGTAGATAGAAGAGGGGCAGGTGGGCCACGGCTTCCTCGCAACATTTTTTTCGCGTTGAGCCCTCGACTGTGGTCAGAGTCAGACGGTTGGGTAGTTGGGTGCGTCGGTGGCTCGGTACCGGTATGGTCCATTTACTGCGCGAAATGAAATGGGCCGCAAAGGCCGAGAGGTTGAGCTGGGTACTGCTGCTAGAGTGAATTTGGTCCAGCTGGGTACTGCCGCAAAGGCCGAGAGGCCAGCTGAAACTTAGCTAAAACTGACCGAAAACACTGTTATGACTGAATGGTTGTGAGAGAAAAACACTGTTCCGATTGAAAAAAAACAAGCCGAACAAGCCGGTTTCTGGGTAAGCGAACGGGGAAGAAACATCAACACCTGAAGAATGAAGAAGGTATTTTCAGGGTTTTTTACACAAAAAATAAGAAAGATCGGACACTGTAAATGCATTCGTCATATGGATTTGAAAAACAAGGGCGAAGAACATGAACAAATATTGTAGATGCAACAAAGCTTGTAAAAAAGTCCTAGGTCAAGATGTCGCCTCCTTATGCATATTGTTGGGTGTGATTGCTTCTAATTTGTTCAGGCTGTTGTTGCAGCTCCAAAACTATTTTACTGTTCCTTTGCCTGGTGGATGGTGCAGCTGCAGCCAGCGCAAACGAGCAGAGAAATCAAATATCACCTCCATTCCAACTTATAAGATATTTGACTTAGTGTGCATTTAGATATACATTATATCTAGATATAAATAGAAAAAAAAATTCAAAATTAATGTATCTATAAAACCAAAACGCCTTATAATTTAAAACGGAAGGAGTAAATCTATATACTCTTATAAAGCTAAACCCCACTAGAGGATTTTTCTCTTCGTGCAAGGTGTCCACATCATTCCCCACTAAATGACCCTACTAGATGTTCTATCTCTTCATGCAAGATGTCCACATCATTCCTCACTAAGTCGATGTCATTCCTTATTAATTATAAAAAAATATCAACGTCATCTCTATCATGTGCAATGCTTTTAATCATTAATCTATGTATTAACAAGTCATTTACATACGCTATTTGTTTCATCACATATTCTCTGTAATGTAATCAAATATTCTATTAAGTTTTTTTTTCTATTATCTTACCGATTTTTTATCAGATCTGATATAATAAAGTAACATGCAAGTTAAATGCATATATATACACAATATACAAAATATCATATATTAATAATGCTATGTATATAATAGATTTATTTTTTTTAAAGAAAATCTCACGGCAACGCGCGAGATATGCTTGTAGTTAGTAAGGAAGCATTTGTTATTTTTAAGCTCATTCGTGAACATCACAAATGAGCAGGGGGGCCAACGTCTAAATTGCTGCGTGAGCCTGATCGACAGCAGGTATGCCGATTTAGCGACCAACCAGACCATACGTGCGTACGGCAACCGGGGGCTCGGCCGGAAACAACGAGGTGGAAAACCAAATCGCCGGGAATCGCCTGATGCCGACCGCCTTGCTTGGAGTTGAGCAGCCGCGACCGGATATGCATCGGCGGCGTACGTAGACCGCTATGTTCTTTAACGAAGCAGTTTACTGCTTACTGCAATGCACATCTTGGTTTCTAAAAAATCTTCACAGGTACTGCTATATATATGTATGTATAGTATATGTTCAGACGGTTCTCCATCTATAGTCGCGATCGCGGTGACCAATATGTTTTGAGCTTATTCGGTACTTTTTCGATCTTTTCAGTTATAAAACAGTATTTTCTTCGTACTAACGTTTCAGCGCCAAATTTCGGCATATGATGCGTTGGCGACTGCCATTTATAGTCGTGATCGCGCACAGTTGCTGACACGCACCGGGGCAAGCTGGGCACTAGTATACCTAGTCATCTAGATCAATCTTTCTACACGGCAGTGCTAGAGTGCCACACAATCGTTTCCTAAACGCAAGTAGACACTAGGGTCACTAGCTACAGCTAGCTAGCAAGACACGGGCATGGGTTCCTACGCCGGCGAGAACGAGCCGAAAGCCGGCGGCGGCAGCGGCGGCGGCGGAAGCCACGTGCTCCTCCTGCCGTAGTGCCGTACCCGAGCCAGGGCCACGTCCACCCGATGCTCCAGTTCGGCAAGCGCCTGGCGTACCACGGCCTGCGGCCCACGCTGGCCGTCACCCGCTTCATCCTCGCCACCTGCGCGCCCGACGCAGCCGCGCTGGGCCTGGGCGGCGCCGGTGCGGTCCGGCTCGCGGCGGTCTCGGACGGCTTCGACCGCGGCGGCTTCGGCGAGTGCGGCGACGTGACGGCGTACCTGTCCCGGCTCGAGGCCGCGGGTTCGGAGACGCTGGGGGAGCTCCTCCGGGACGAGGTCGCGCGGGGCCGGCGCGTCCGCGCGGTGGTCTACGACGCGTTCCTGCCGTGGGCGCAGGGCGCGGCGCGGCGGCACGGCGCCGCGGCCGCGGACTTCTTCACGCAGCCGTGCGCCGTCAACGTGGCGTACGGCCACGTGTGGCGCCGCCGGCTGCGCGTGCCGGTGGATGATTGGGTGCTCCGGCTCCCTGGGCTGCCGCTGCTCGAGCCGGATGGCCTGTCGTGGTTCCTCAAGGTCGGGACCGGCCCTTACCCGGCCTACTTCGAGCTGGTCATCCGCCAGTTCCAGGGGCTGGAGCAAGCCGACGACGTGCTTGTCAACTCGTTCTATGAGCTGGAGCCCCAGGTGAGCTGCGTGCTTGTTCGTCCGTCGTCCCTGTCTCTGCCATGCATACCAGCTACAGGAGTTCATGTGCAGCCGTAAATGCACGCATGCTTTCTGTAACACCCCCGGCGCGGCACAGGCCCACTCTACGTAGCAATTCGCTTACGTCGTCTTCGCTTCGTGCAAACGGTTAACCGAAGGCTAGTACACATCCTTATCTATTTAAGTCGATCGTCCAGGAGGATTCCTAGTTGAACTAAAGGTGGGTGTACAGTGTTTTCGCGATGCTACAGTGCCCAATTGGCTCAGCCTACCATGTCGCTACAGTGCACGGGGATGTTACAATTACCCCTTAGCCAGATTGGCTTACCCTATTCGGGACAAATGCTCAGGATCACTTTCTTGGCACACATCCATATTCCCAGCTCCCCGCCCCAAGTGCCATGCTCATGCAGAGCCATGCGCAACCTGTCCGAGCTCCCGAGCCATATGTCCGTGAAATCATGAGAGTTGGCTCTGATACCATTTGTAACACCCTAAGCCCGGCACACGGCACAGGCCCACTCTATCGAGGGGTGGGCCCCACCTATATAGCAACCCGCTTACGCTTTCATCATCGCTTCGCGAAAAATGGTTAACCGAAAATTACTATGCGTCTTGGCCATCCTAGATTCACAGTTTGCGACTAAAGTCTGGCTGCATAGTGTTTCGAACGCTACAGTCTCACGCAAACAGTGACTAACGGCAGTGCTACGCCGCTACAGTACCCGATTTTGGTCCGGGCCCCTTGGTGCTACAGTACCCCAAGCTACTTCTCAGACCACAGCCCACGCGCGCAATTACAATGCCCCGGCCAATCGGAATTCAGCTCATTTAGGTGGGACGTTACACTTCCAAGTTCCAGACACAGATATCGTTTTCAGTTGTATCTTTCTTTTTTTCCCCTCAACTTCCACACACCACGCATTTGCACCTTATCGTCAGAATCATACGAATCAATGCTCACTGGTGTGTACTCAATGCAAGTAAGGATGAAAACGGAACAGAAATATCCCGAACCGAACCGCATTGTTTTCTATATTTAATTCGATCGAATCCGTATTTTCTTATCCGACTTTAGCGATTTCAGATGTTTCACGCAAAGTAGAAAGTTTAGACATTTTCGACCGCTTTTTCTACTTTTCTACTTTTTTAATTTGAAATATTCGAATTTAAAATTTGGTTTAAACGAATTTGGTGACGTTATACATCCCAATTATAGTCACCCTACGATTTTGTCCGGGTCCCCTGATGCTCATCTAGTGCCCCGGGCTATAGCCCATCAAGCTCAGACCACAGTCAATCCTCACGCAAATAAATCTTTGTTACTCAAAAGAAAAATCTAAATAAATCTTTAAAATAAAATACTACATCTATTTCAAAAATTAATAAAATTATCCCGACTCGATTCGAGTTAATGTTTCTATAACATCTATTTTTAGTTCAGATTCTAAAATGGTTTGCTAGTTACTACATCTAATTTCAAATTCCTATTAGACACTAGACTATCGTTTTCTAGTTGTATTTATGTTCTATTTTTAAATACCTAAGACCAAGGATCATGCACTTGTTAATTATTATATGCACTTGAACTTGATCATGCATTTAGTCATGCACTTGGTCCTACGGTCGGTATTCGTATTGAATTTTATCGTTCAGAATCCATCGGAATTCTCGAATCAATGCTCAGGTCCGGCTTTGTTTTCACTGTGTATTTCAAATGTAAAAGTAGAAAACAATTTATGAGGCATCCTTAAATGCAAGGCATCCATATCCTAGAGAATACCCGGTTCTCGAACAGATGTGTCAAGTTGGTCCTCCGCCTTAGTCCAGAGTCCTGACAGCTATGTCGGGAAAATATCTTGGGCGAGCTGGGCCAGCCGATGTCCAGCCAACAGTATTTTTCTCTCACATCAAACCAGCCAGCAGTAAATAATCCACGATACTTTACGGCCTCCCGAACAGGCTTTTGCACTAACGCAGCAGCGTACATGCATGTCGTCCACTTGCAGGAGGCGGAGTACATGGCGTCGGCGTGGCGCGCCAAGACGATCGGGCCGACGGTGCCGGCGTCCTACATCGTCGACGACCGCCTCCCGTCCGACACCAAGTACGGGCTGCACCTCTACGAGCTGACCGGCGCGCCGTGCATCGCGTGGCTGGAGGCGCACCCGCCGCGCTCCGTGGTGTACGCCTCCTTCGGCAGCCTGTCGGACCTCGACCCGCTGGAGATGCGGGAAATCGCGCACGGCCTCCTGGACGCCGGCCGGCCGTTCCTCTGGGTCGTCCGCGCGTCCGAGACCCACAAGCTGCCCGCGGGCTTCGCCGAGGCCGAGGGCGAGTGCGGTGGGCGGCGCGGGCTGGTGGTGTCGTGGTGCCCGCAGCTGGAGGTGCTGGCGCACCGC